CCCCAAAACCCCAAAACCCCAAAACCCCAAAACCCCTTTAGAGATTTGATATCTTGATTTCTTACCCATAAAATTAATCAAGCCTCTCGATTAAGATGGCAGATGCTCCACCACCTCCGTTACAGATGGAGGCCATTCCAACAGATTTATCTTGACTTCTAAGAGCATTGATAAGAGATAGGATAATTCTGTTTCCACTGGTACCAATAGGATGTCCAAGAGCAACAGCTCCTCCATGTACATTGATTTTATCCATATCTAGACCAAGAAGTTCAGCATTGGCAAGCACAACTGATGCAAAAGCTTCATTAATCTCATGGAGGTCAATGTCTGATGCTTGCATCTTGTGGGTCTTGAGGATCCTTTTACAGGCCCCAGTTGGAGCAATAGCGAAGTCAATTGGAGCACAAGCAGAGTCATCAAAGCCAATAATTCTAGCTAATGGCTTTAATCCTCTAGCTTTAGCAGCCTCTTCTTCCATGAGAACTAGTGCAGAAGCACCATCATTAATCTTTGATGCATTAGCAGCAGTGATAGATCCAGTCTTCTCGAATGCTGGCCTAAGTTGCGATAACTTATCTGGCATGAATCTCTGACACTCCTCATCCTTGTCAATAACCTTTGTTCCTCTTCTAGTCTTTTCCTCAACTGGGACGATTTCCCAAGCAAAGGTGCCGTCCTCTTGGGCCTTTCTTGCCTTCTCATATGAAGAGATAGCAAACTTGTCCTGCTGCTCTCTAGTGAATCCGAAGTCTCTGTTAGTCTTCTCGACACAGTTACCCATAGCAATGTTGTCATAAGCATCAGTAAGTCCATCATTCATGAGTCCATCGATTAATCTAGCGTGAGCATAAGTAGTAGGAGTTCTCAGATATGAGTAATGAGGAATCTTTGACATATTCTCCATTCCTCCAGCAACAACAGTCGTTCTATCCCCAAGGGCGATGGTTTGGGCACCAATCATCACACTCTTCATACCAGAGGCACATACCTTATTGATATCTGTAGTGGGAGTGCTGTAGTCGAATCCAGCTCCGAGAGCAGCTTGTCTAGAAGGAGCTTGTCCAATTCCTGCGCTGATAACATTTCCGATAAAAACTTCGTCGACTTCCTTTGTCTTTAAATCAATAGCGGAAAGGGCACCCTTGATAGCAGTTGAGGCTAACTGTGGTGCAGGGATGTTTGATAGTCCTCCCATGAAGGTTCCAATAGGAGTTCTCTTTCCAGATACAATAACAACTCTTTTTCCAATCATTTTAATAATAAGTATATTTAGTTCATTATATGACGTTATATAAGGGGTTTTGGGGTTTTGGGGTTTTGGGGTTTTGGGGTTTTGGGG